TCTCTTAAGCAAAGACACCGCAGAAGACAAATACCAAAAACCCTTCCGTCGTCCATCTCAACCCCGGAGACCCCCTTTCTGATTCCGGTATTTCGTTGACCGGCGCGGCCGCCTTCTTCGCCGTCCCTTTTGTTCGCGCTCAATCGACGTGCATATGCAGCCCCGCCAGGTTGTAATCCTGCACGGACAAGGTGACGAAGTCCAGCTGGCGAAGCCGAACCGCGCGGTTCGGATGGTTTAACAACCGGCCGAGCAGCTCCCGCCAATAGCCGGGGTCGTGGTCGGCGATGGGGTTGCCGTGGAGCGTGAGGCTCGTCAGCAGCGGGAGCGGGCAGACCCGCGTCTCCACCTGCGCCCAATCCGCGATGTGGTTGCCGTGGAGGTAAAGCCGCTGTAAAGGCAGCGGGGAGAAGTCCGGGAGGTCGCTGATGTGATTGCAACTCAGGTCCAGCGAGTGAATCATCAGCAGCGCGTTCGCGACGAGGACGCGAAGGACGGGGATGAGAAACTGATCCACGCCCTCGCCCAGCTGGCAGCTCGAGATGCGGACGCTGTTGGCGTCGTACTTCTGCTGTTTGGAGGCCCCATGGGACTGCGAAAGCGACTTTCGCCCCATCCCGGAGCTGTTGGCGTTGAGGCTCGCGTAGGATTCGTTCGCGACGCTGAGTCGGGCGATGGAAGAGCTCTTGAGAGGGCCGTTGGAGAGGTTCGCAGCGTGGCCAATAAAGCCGTTGAGGCGGTTGTCGTGGAAGTCGAACTCATAGGCCTCCTCATCGCCCCTCTTATTCTTTGCCTTGATGAGGGTTCGGGAGGGCACCATGGGGTGGGTTGGGTCATTATCCGCGTTGAGAAAAACGCCCTGAGCGAGGTCGGGGTCGCCCGTGGGTCTCAAAGGGCGGCAGACGTGTGGACGACCGCTGACCGGCTCCACATAAAGCAGCTGCTCCACATTGCGCAAGACAATAAACGAATAATCCAGCAGCGGCCAGGCTCGATTGACCGCCGACACTCGACCCGTGCTGACGCCGTAGAAATCGCGCAACGCATTCCGCACCCTCTCGACCTGCTGGAGCTGCGTTGGCGTACTCGAGTACAGGTGGTGATAGTCGGCGTGAAGAAGGCCAATCGTGGTCGCTTTCAGCCCTGGGGAGACCTTCTCGACCTGTGAGGCGGGGTTCGCCCCCAACAATCCCGAGGTCTGGGATTTGCACAGCGAGATCGGAAAGCGCCGCAGACGCGTCCAGAGCTCCGGCAGGGTTAACATGCGCCGGTGAATCGTGACGATGCTGCCGTCGTCAAAATAACACTGATCGACAAAGCGAAGGTAGTCGCGCCCCCAGATCAACGTCAGCCGGCTCAGCCGCTGATTGCGGTCGGTGTGCTGCCGCCCCACCAGGGCGAAGCGCTCCTGCTCCGTCCGCGGCTCCGGGGGCGGGGGCAGGATCTCCGCCTCCTGCAGGATGCCCTTGCGCGGCTCGAGCTGGGGCTCGATATCCCCGATGTACTTCTCCTGCCCAATCCAGTTCAGCAGAAAGCAGAAGCGCCGGCAGGCCTCCAGCCGGCCCCGGCAGACGTCCACGTAGTCCCCGTAGTTCGCCGCGATGGCCTCCGGCGTCGGCCCGCTGACGGGGAGGAGCGGGCGGGGGCTCGTGAGGATGGGCGAGTTGGGCCGCCGCTGGCGGAGGGCCTCGGCGGAATCCGCCGGCTCGGCGTCGACCATCCACCGCGGCGGCGGGGGCTGTCGGAAGAAGAAATACACCCCCATGACCTCCCGCAGGATCTCCCCCCCCTCCCCCGGAGGCGCCTTCCGCGGCG